ATACAAGATACGAAGTTTACCATTTTTTGATTTTTTGTCAGCTGGGTATGCAAAAATTCCACCATATAACAGTGTACGATGAACATCGGCAACCATTGAACCAATGTAACGAGCTGAGTAAGGATTTTTACCTTCTGGTGGATATTTGAGTGAATTGAAATATTTCTTACATGGTTCATACCAATATTTTTCATTTCCCTCATTTACTGAATATATCTTTCCACGAGATGGAATTCTGATCTGCGTTAGTTGAGCGGCAACAATGAGTGAGGAAATAAAGCAATTATTATTTATCTATTTAATTAACTGTAATAGTCGGATATATGTTTGTTTAACACTTACATTAGGATGAGTAAGGATAAATTCTCCAATCGCCTAAAAAATAAAAAATAAAATTACATGTAATCACAATAAATTGTAATAATTAATTAATCAATCAATCAATTAATTGTTCTTACATTATCAAGTGTATAACCATTAACTCCGTTACCAAGTGTAATGACCATATTAGCAGAACTACCATACATACAATAACCAGCAATAACCATGTCAGAACCTGGCCTAAGAACATCTGAAATACTTCCGGTAGATCCTTCACACTAAAATTAATTTTTTGATAATTAATATGTAATAATCATTCACCAATAAAATTCTTGACTTTATGATAAAATTATGCCAATGTCAAATAGTTAGCTGATTGACTACTTACCATTTTATAAATACCAAAAATTGTACCAACGTTTACACCAGCATCAATATTAGAAGATCCATCTAGTGGATCAAAAACAACGCAATATTTTCCACGTAATCCTTCCTCGACGATAATTGCTTGTTCATCCTCTTCCGAAACCATCACAGCAACTTTACCGGATGAGCAAAGTGCATTAACAAAAATCTCATTGGAAATCACATCTAATTTTTTTTGTTCATCGCCCGAAATATTTGTTGCACCACCTGCAAGTCCAACTCTGAATTATTTGGAAAAGAAATAGAAGTGATGTGATGGGATGGGGTAGGAATTAATCATCATTAATTTCTTTATTTCAATTCATAAATTGCATATTATTCAATTATTATTATCGATCATTATTAATCATTATATTTATTACTCACAAATTTAAAAGTCTAGCTTTTCTAACGTTAGTAGCTACAAATTTACAACCAAGTTGAATTGCATTTAACAGGGTGGTCAAATCTCCACTTGCATCTTTATATTTACGTTGTTCATCAAGAACATGTCTTGTCAATGTGATAATATCAGTTGTAACCTTGACTTCAGACATTATTATTAATATTATTGCTAATTAATTAGTATTTGACTTTTTTGAAAAAAAATCTTAAAATGAACCTAAACATATTTATATTAATGCGGAATAATTCGGAACACCAAAAAGATTTTTGTTGCAAACACATGCATGCATGTTGATTATTGACTGATTAACATAAAAAAAAGGAGCAAATCAAAGATCATAAAAGTGTGGGAAAAAATCGAAAAAGAAAATTAGCATATTAAACATTAATATAGGATAATGAAAGACAATGATTGAAAAGGTTAATAATAATAATATTTTTCTTTTCGTAAGAATGAGAACTTTATGTACATAATTATATAATTATAAATTTTTATTTTTTTCAACCACCAATAAATAAATTCTAAATAACATGCTTAATTATTGTTTTTAACAAGTAAGATTTGTTATGCTAAATCGGAACCACCTAAGGTTATGGGCGAAACCTCCTTAGTAATTGCTGAAACCACAGCAAAACTATATTAAATCTTATCAAAAATCCTGTTGAAACCATGCCGAAATGGCGAAACCTCAAAATGCGAAACTCTGCCGAAACTCTAATAAACAATTAGCGGAAACCCCGCTGATTGATTTCTGGATGAGTTTCGGCAAGCAACCTTAAGCAGGTCTATCTCCAAAGTTTTCTCCACTTCTCATTTGACCAATGATGGCTTTCTTTTCACTTTGATGCTTCCCAGTGCTTTTCATTTTCAGATTGTAGTAATTGTTAACAATTTCTTCAATGACTTTTTCTTGGTTATTGGGTATAACCTAAGTACACAACATAATAATGTTATATACTTAGGTTATACACACTTGGTCTAGGTTATGTGATTAGGTTATAACCACTTAGAATTACGATTGGTTTGCATTTGCGTTGTACTTTTTGTAGGTTATGGCATGGGTTGTGCCGTCGAACCAGCCCTTTTGGGTTATGGCTGATTTGAGTTTGATTCGTATTTTTAAGCTCTTGTCTGGATTTTTTATTTTTTTTCCATAAATTTAAACCACTGCGTTGACTTCGATTCCTGCTTTGGGTCCCGATTTGAATTACAATTGGTTAATGAATTCATCGTCATATTTGAGCCCCGCTTTGGACTATGATTGGTTTATGAATTCGTCGTCATTTTTGGGACCATTATAGTGGAGCATTAGTGACGACACGAAAATGTTGACGAAAAAAGTATGCTTTTTAGTGATCATTATTGACGTCCATAACGATGGACTTTTAGTGATGCTGTTGACTTCAATACACAAAGTGCTGAATTGTTATCTCACTTGCTGGCTTATCAAAGCATAATTTCCGATTTGAATTTTTCTACATTTATTGCAAAAGACGACAAAAAAATTCCTTCTATTGATAATGTAAATTGGAACTATGAATACAAGATTGACTTACTTCTATAGATAACACAATTCAATTATTTGGGAAAAAGACATATAACTTCAATCCATTCAGAAAAGGAGGACAATAATCAACTATTGGATTCTCATCAAGAATTTCCTTGCTGATTTGAATACATTTAGATTGAAATTTTTGTCTTTTTGGGTCCGTTCTTTTTACATACTTCCACAATCTTTCTTCATGCTCCAGAAATCTTTCTTTATTCCTCCGATAACTTTCATCATACTCTCTATCATCATTTTCTAACTCTTTAAACCTAGCATTATTATCAATGGATGCTTTAATGATATCCATGAGTGCTTCTTTAACATCTATGTTTGCTATAGGAATAACAATGAGTGCATCAAAAATATCATTGAGGCAATCATTTCCCTTTTTTAAAGGACTCGATACTCACTGGAGTCAATTGTAGAAACATTATTATATTTTTCTTTCTGGCGATTAATTAGTTAATGCCTTCTTTATAAATGTTTAATATTATGATTATCATTAGCATAAATTCAATTTTAACCTAAGATACGCCTTTATTCTAAGATAAATAGAAAAAATTATTTGTTCATAGGATTGTATTCTTTAACTCCTCTCGTTAAAACACGTTATCTTTTTTTTGCTACCAAGTATAGCATGAAATGATATAAAAACGGAAGGAATTCCGTCCAGATAAAAAATTATGCCAAACTGGACAGATTGATATAGGAGAAAGTGTTCTATTTTGTTTTCAACTTGTTATTCTATATTCATCTAGGTTGTCTAGGTTAAAATATAGTATCCAAGGAAAAAAAAAATCGAAACTTTTTCCTGGCTAGTATGTAATTCTGAAAAAAAACCAATGATTCTTGATAACTTTAATGGCATTTACCCATAGCAGATCGACAATCAACTCCAGAGAGATTCTGAAATACGTATAAAAACAGCTCGAATTCGCATAATTTTTCTACTTCATAACTATAACATTCGAATAAATACAATAAAAATTTGTTAAATCAATCAAACCCACGTTAATAAATAAACGTAGCAAATCAATTAAACGTTGTAAATTAATAAAAAAAAACACGTTAATAAATAAATCAATAAAACGTAGTAAATCAATTAAAAAACACGTTAATAAATAAATCATATTAAATATCATTCTTACATTCATCAAATCAAAGGTATGTAGGATGCTTGTTCCCACGTATTATAAAAAAACCATCGTACTAATTGATACCATTTTTAGATGACGTCAACTGAATTTCTCGAAACCCTCGCAAAAATGCCATTAGAGAATAATTCCTATCTTGATCCTCACCGTAACACTTATATTTGGAAAAAAATTCTTCATATACCTATTCATTACCGTTGCATGCTTTGTTTTCTACATATTTAAACAACGGATTGATATGGATCTTGATTTATTGAAGGAGAAACAAAAAAACATTCTAAAAAAATTGATAATATATCTGAAGAAATTGATAAAAAATTGATGAGCTTTATAATAAAATTGAAGAGTTTCTTAATAAAATAGACGAACTTTCCGAAAAAATTTCTTTGTTCAGTGAAGAGATCCAACAAAGATTCCAGGAAGAAAATACCCCAACTAATTATCCAAGAAATCTTTCAAGCAATAATAGTTCAAGCAGTTCTCGAGGTAAGATTATTTCAATGTATAAATATCTGTTGTCTTTGGTGAGATGCCCATAGTAAATCAAATATTTTTGTATCATTTCAGCTTCAAGATGAACTTCAGATCAACTCGTGCAAAATTTCAAGAAGCTTTTCGACGAGACTATGCGAGAAAAATATTACTCCAAGGCTGATATGATTACTGAAGTTGTGAGCAATCTTAGAAAGGAGAAAAAAATAAAGGTTATCTCGAACAAAGCAGTAGAAAATTATTATAACCATATGACAAAATCTGACGCCAGGGTTGTAGGGGCAATCAAATCTTGGATCGAATTCAAAGAAAAAAAATAAATCTGTACTTAACAATAATAACAATGATAATTATAATGTCGATGAAGAAATAGATACTAACTTGGTGATATTATTTTATTATTTTTAATTTTTTTAGATAGGTTTTGAAACAAGAAAACTTAATTAATTGAAACATCATTTTAACATTTAGGCAACATATTCTTTTCCATGCTAACTTGCATATTCAATGGTTGATTTGTTAAGATAATGGTTTTGTATATTTTTTATTATCATTTTATCATTTTATTACTTTAACTTTTAGATAAATTTTCAAAAACAAACATTAAAGAAAAAATTCAATTAATTGAAACATCATTTTAACATTTAGGCGAACATATTTTTTTCCATGTTAACTTGCATATTCAATGGTTGGTTCTGCCAAAATAATAGTTATTCAGTCTACAGTTAAGTGATTAATTATTGTTATGTGATCATCAAAAAAATCAACATCAATATCCCCCCTTTTCAACTAATGGGTAATAATACTATCACAAATAATTCCATCATACCTTGTACTTTTTCACATGAAGAAAAATATATATTGATCATGAATGTTATCATGAAAATAAATTCTTTTATTTTTTAGAAAAATTTCAAACCAGTCAAAAAATTAAATTTGTGTGATGATTTGAAAGATTGATAAAATTTGGCCAATGAAACCGTTTGTATATACTAAAAACACTTTCAAAAAAAAAAAAAAAATGCATCAATACTTTGATCACAAGCTGTCAAAATGGAATATTGAAGATGTTTTAAAAGAAAACAACAAGAGCGAAGTTAAGTCTTTATGTTAAGTGCCTAGAGAAAATCGTTAATACTGAGGAAAGGCCCAAAGCGTGAGAAAGCACTGGAACTGCTTTATAAATATAGGAAATATTGGACTTTTTCATTGTTGTTATAAATATATAAAAATTGGTGGCGTGCTGAAGACCTTCTAAGCTCTTCGTCATTCAAGCCTTCTAAGCCAAGCCATGAAGCTAGTATTGGGGCACAGGTGACCTTCTAAGCCGACCTGGTGGGATAGAAAATAGATGAAACTAGGGATATGCTAATTAAGAATATTACTAATTCTCCAAGTTTTCATGCTATGTGATCACAAACTTGCTAGGGATTGGGTGTTGAATTGCGAATCTGAAAAATCACCTTCAATTAGTATTCAAAATACATTTACAGGAGGTACTCTAACAATTGGAACTGTTAATGACAGAACATTCATTAGCTAGAAACCTGAAATCAATAGAACACTATTTTGTATTTTAATGTGTTAGGATAATGAAGTTTCAACCAGGCAGATTAAAAGTAAACTACACAATATGGAAAGTGGGGAAATGACTCCTGATTACTGTGAACTTCTGACAAAGTGGAAAATGAAATTAAATTGGATCTCAAAAAGACATTTGATAAAGAATATATAAAATGAAAGACAATCTGAGGTGGAAGCTCAAATCCACAGGCAGAGTTGTGGATATACATGCAGCCCAAATTGGTTTGGTGATTTTAATGGTCAAAATTATTCCAATTTTGATGGTAGAAAGTAGAAATTAATTACAGCATTCGCTATTAAAAACATAAGTGTAACACCCCTTTACTAGATGTGTAACCCCCTTTATGACAGTGTCAAAATACTTTGGGCTGCATGTATAGTTACTAAGCTAAAAATGTTCTTTGTGATGAATTACATATAAAATATTGTTAACTCAAAATCAACTTTTTGGTGACATGCCTCATTTCTATTGATCAGACCCCATATAGTCCACATTAGCAATATTTTTTATTAGTGTTAATTACATAATCTATTTTTGATCCTTTATTACATGAAAACAACATACAAATATATTCATTCTGTAATTATACAATATGCTCATATATTTTGTAAATTTGCCAGAATCTTCAAAACATCACAAATGCATTTACCCTCTCAAGAAATGAGAATATGATCGATTTTATCCATAACTGCCTTCTGCTGAACTATCTCATCCTAAAAATAGCAAAAATAGTTAAATATAAGGGCATACAAATTATTTATATAGTATATTTACACTATTCACTTACATGGAAAATAGCCATCAACCGCAAGACTGCCATATACTTTGACCTTGAATGGAAATCAAACGGCAATTCTGCTGATGCAAGCTCATATTAAAGACTAGTGCCATAAATTATGGTGATGGTAGTAATTGTATTTACAGCATATGAAAAGTGGTCACAATTACCTTTGCAACCACTTTTGCAATCATACTTTTTCCTTTTTTGGATTATGGCACTAGTCTTTAGCTCATATGTAAAAAATATGCCATCGTACTGCATGCTAAGGGCATACAATGTCATTTGATGTGCTAATGAATTAATGGTAAAAAAAAGGAGAATATAATCAGTATTTTGATTTTATACAAAACAATGCAATAAAAAACATACCTATAACTTGTGTGCTGAACATAGAGCTCTGAAACGAGTCGGGTCGACCCGAGTCAACTCACGGGTTGACCCGAACGGGTTGGGTTGGGTCATGATTTAATTGACCCAGGTTTGACCCAGGTCAACATCATGTTATAATTGCCTTTAAAAGTTCAAAATTATTTTTGAAACTAGTATAGATACTA